GGCTGCACCTGCCTGTCTGTGCCCACACACTCTTCCTTCACTGTGACAGTGCCGTTCCTCAAATTCAGGAAGTACTAGATGAATAAGCTTTGAGCTGCAAGTGCTGAGGTGAACACTGAGGCAAAGGCAGCTCCTCCCGGCCCCCACAAGCTCTGGACACTTGTCCACGGAACCCAGCCACCATGCTGAGAGGAAGCCAAAGCTGCCCCACCTCCTGTGATAGCTCTGCCTTCAGAGGTCCCGCAAAGCCATCACAGCAGGACTTGAGGCGAATGACACCTCTCCATCGTGTTCATTAGGAATCCTCACCCATAAAACCCCTAAGTGTGTGATACATGGATGGTTTATGTTGCAAAGCTTTGGGGCCATTTGTTACGTGTCTCTAGTAACTGAATGGATCCTTACCTCACACCATATGTGAAACTGAGTTCCAGGAAGATACGAAAGTCACGCTATAAAGCTTCAGAAGGTCATATTGTAATATAAATAAAACTGATCTTCATGACCGTGGGGTGGGAAGAAATTCTTAATAAGACAGTAGAGGAATTAACCATCAAAGAAAAGATAGTGTTCTTAGTCTCCACCAAGTATGGGACCCTCCAGTTTACCTAGGGATGTCATTAGGGGAATGAAGTGGAGGCCACAAGCGGATGTGGAGTTTGCCACCTTTACCTTACAGGGCGTTATATACAAAGAAGTTGCACAAACCAGTAATACTGAAAACAGAGAGCAAGTAGACAAATAGGCTGCTAGGAGCTCCTCATAAAAGAAGACGTCTGAATGGCTCATGAACGATGAGGTACCATCCCACAACCACCAGGCTGGCAGCAATAAACAGTGTCATGGAGCAGAAGCCCGTGCAGGGTGTGGCCTGGCGGAGCTCACGTGCTACTGCAGGAGTGTCAACTGTTTCAAGCAAGTGGGGCATTTTCAGGGACACTGAGGACGTGTGCTCCTTACCCTGGTGTGTCTCTGCCTCTGTGACTAGAGAAGCTTGTGCCTAAGGGCTCTGGAAGAATGTTCCAGAACTTTCACAGCAGCACTCCTCAAATCTCTCCATGTGTATAAAAAAGATTGTATATTTATTCAGTGGGATATTAGTGAAAAATCAGACTTAAAAGCTATAGCAGGCTAGCCTGGTGGCACACTCCTGTAATCTAGCATTCTGGGAGATGGAGGCAGGAGGCTTGCAAGTTCAAGTCCAGCCTGGAATCCTGCCTTGAAATAAAAAATAAAACATAAAGGATGGGGTTGCAGCTCAATATGAAGGCACTGGGTTCAGTCCCCAGTACCAAAAACAACGAGAGCACCGCCAAAGTACAGTCACACGCAATAACACAGAAGTGTCTCACAGTCGTGACCTGGCGAGAAAGCTAGGCCCAAGAAACCCATACCTGGCCCTGTCCACGCTCACTAAGTTCCAAACTAGTGGAGAGATGCTTTACATCTGTTCTTCAGCCTGATGGATATGTCTTCAAACTCTCTGATTCTGCTGCCAATTCGGATGTGTTACTGATGCTCCAGTATGGTTTTAATCTTGGTTCCAATATTTTCAACTCCAGATTTTCCACGTGGTTCTTTACAGAGGTGGCATCAAAAAGATTCAGGGCACCACACGGTGATGCCAGGGTGGTACACACTGATGTGTATAATTGGAACAGTTTTATGTATCTGTTAAAGACAGAGGACAGTTTCTGTCTCTTTATGAGGTTCTCTATTTAGTAGACACAGGTCTTATGTCTCCCTTTAGTCCTGAAGAAGTGGTTTCTTTTAGTTCTTTAAACATAATCAGCAGAGCTGACTTAGACTCTTTGTTTAGTAAGTCTAACCCCCAGCTTCCTCAGTGACAATTTCTATCAATGACTCTGATGCCTCTGTAAGGGCCATGCCAGCTTGCTGCTGTCTCTTCAGCATTTTAAGGAATATAATAAGAAAATCAGATTCCTCTACTTCTCAGGGTTTGCTGTGTGCTTAGTGACCTTTCCTGGCTGATTCTGGATTATGAGTTTGTTATCAGTACCACTCTGTGCTGTGGGCTGACCGCAGCTCATAGCTGGATGGGGGTCTCCTCAGATGTCCGGAACCAGCGAGACTGGTGACCTTAGCTGAAGGCCTCGTCTGTGTGTCCATCAAGTCAGGCGGTCAGTCCTAGCTCTGTGTTTGTCCCCACTTCTTGCTTGCACAGAGCCTCAAGTTCATCCTGCATCTGGGCCTCAGGCTCTGTGAGGTCCTTCTGGACACGCACAGCTCGCAGCGGGTTCACGGCCCTCACACACACAGCCATCGAGATCCCATGAGTGCTGTGGGGTTTCCCACAGGCCCTTCTGGGTTTTCTGTGGCCATCTTGCCCTTCACCCTGCTGGATACCACTGTCCACAGAACCTGAGGAGCCACAGCTGTGACCGCAACAGGCTCTGGAGGAGCGGCAGCTCTACCCTGGCAGCACTCCCCTCTGTCTCCACTAGGGGGCGGTGCTGAGCTCGGGGGGGGGGGGTCACTGCTTGGCTGGAGGGGGAATACAGGGCAGGTCTGAAGACCAGCCCCACTGCTCTTCCTGAGATGCACTCACTGTATTTGAACCACGCCTCCTGGGTTGTTGCAAGCCATGGTTATTTTCAAGTTCTGGGGAAGGAAAAAAAAAAAAAAAAAAAAACCTCTTTAAAAATCATTCATTTATTTTTTGCCAGAATTTGTGTTGCTTATGTAGAGAATGTTTGGAGGTTCTCACTCTGCCTTTCCCACTGACAACATCCAGCACTTATTCTTCCTTTCATAGATCTGTATTCATTAAAAGAATAACAAAAACAAAAGCGGCACGAAGTCCTCTTGCACCGGCAGGGTAGTAAATAACATCTTTGTCTTCAGAGTGTTTGCTGCAGGGAGTCTGCGGTGCCCTGGGAAGCTGGTCTGGCTTTCACTGCTGGAGACACAGCCCATAAATTATCCAGACCCGGGGAAGCTGCGGACAAAGACTGCGGGAAAACTAGGGCCAGGCTGCAGGCTGCAGGCTGCAGTTAGAGGGCAGGGAAGTGAGCGTGGGCCCTGACCCCGACCCCAACCAGAGAGCGCCCTGTGTGTGCACCCTGGCTGTTCCTATGGAGCCATCACACACGGGCCTGTGCCGCTCGAGACTCTCTGGGGTGGAGGAGACTGGTGTTTCTGATTAGATTTCCCTCGCCTTGCTGTTGTGCTCTGAAGGCCCAAACTCAAAGTGTAAAAAAATAGGTCAACATGTCTAAAAGAAAAAAAAATGTGCTAGACTTGGCGGAGGTCAGAGGCACCTTCAGCGGAGGCTGCCAGGGGCCAGGGGACCCCTTGCTCTCGGACCTGGGGACAGAGCTGAGGGTCAGGAGATGGCCAGGACTCGGGCGGGTAGAACGCAGCCTTTGGTCGAGCTGCCAGGAGACGGAAGAGGAGGAGGAGGACAGGGAAGGCTTTCTTCCCTCCTCCTCTTAGAGAAGATGTTTTCCTAATAAATAACTGTGAAGTCTCCGATGAAATATAACCCTCATGAATTATTTTGGCCTTTGTGGGATCCAGGAATCTTTCAGTGTCTGGACAGGGTCAGGAGGCTTCTGACGAATGTCCGCAGCTCCCCTGGGGACCCTCCCTTCCTGACGACCAGGAGTGACCGTGACCACCCGTGCACCCCTGCTCCCGCTGCTCCCTCCCTTGAGGCGAGGACTCTGCTCTGCTCCGCAGTCCAGCAGTCCTCGCCCTGATTTGATTTCCTGTTGTTTTACTTCTTTTGTCAAAGACTGAGAAAGGGAAGGGAGAATCATGTGGAATGCGTGTTGGAAATAATTTCTCAGAGCCACTTTCCCAAAGTAGGTCTCGAGTTGGGTGAGCAGCCGCTGTGTTTGCCAGAGATGTGGAATTTCTTCTGCTAACAGCAGTGAAGTTCTAGGGCCAATCAGTCACCTTGGCTCCACGTTCCCTGGTTTTGTAGGAAGCTGGTGGGGTCTGTTGTCCATGAAAATGGTCCACTGTCACACAAGCTGCCAAAATTAGAGGGAACAAAGTAGAAGTTATGTCTGTTGCAGGTCCTACCAGTACCTTTCTCAAGAATGTGGTACCTCTGGTGTAACTGAGTCTCGCTGGCCCCCTGGGCTGTAGAGCCAGGGAAGGAGGGCGTCAAAATACCATATCTCTGGATGGTATCAAGATCTGGAAGCTGCTGAAGAGCCACTGCCCTCTCCAAGTGGCTATTAGGGCTGGAGTAAGACTGAGGACACCCAGGAAGGGGCTGGCCACATAGTCACTCGGGGTTCCAGTGTGTGAGTCCAGCCCAGTGCTGGGACACAGGAAAGGCGTCCCCCAGTAGGAGCAGGCAGGCCCAGGCCTTAGGGCAGTGCCCACATGCCTGTCCTTCTCCAGCAGGACACCTCACTTCCTGTGTGCAGCAGAGCTCACACCTCACATGCGCCTGCAGTGTGGACTGGCTGCCTTGACCTACCTTCCTGGCAGCAGGCAGGCGTGGCTCCCCACCTCTGAGTTCACAGCATTGATGCAGGCAGGCATCTTGGAAGGCACAACCTCAGGAGGCCTCTGCCGGCACCAGCTCCAGGTCCCAGAACCCGGGTGATCGTGACCCACCCGGCTCTGGACTCATATCTGACCTGGTCCATTTCGGGCTCTGCTCCAGGGCTGCAGTCACAGAGGGGATGTGAGCTAACAACACATGCATGCCACTGGGGTTGATGATGCAGATGAAGCCTCCTGAACAAAGATGAGGCAAAGGTCACTTTTCTTCCGGTGACTTCCTAGTGGCTGGGGCCCCATGGGCAGGGATGCCACCTGGACTGTGGGGACGGAGGCAGGGAGCAGGGAGCCTCTTGTTCCCCATCTGAGGCTGACCACAGTCTCAGACCAAGGGCTCCTGGGGTGGCCACACTGAGCCACAGAGCTCTGGGTCACCCTTCGCCACCCCTGCAGGGTTATGACTTTACAGAAAACGGCCACCAGGTGGCGCAAGGAGGAACCCTCGGGGACACTGCAGATTGATCCATGCTGCACTTCAAGCTCTCCTTCCATTGTTGAAAGACAGTTAAGGGCGGCTCAGCAAAGCTGGGACAAAGACCCGGTGTGGCTGGCAAGGGCTGCAGAGGTGGGGCAACCCGGCCTTCTTGAGCTGCAACCTCTGGAGTTAGGGACCCCACTCGCCTTCTCCCCACGGCACCAGCTTCAGGTGAGCATCTCCCTGGGGTCCCTGGGGCTGCTCTGCTGGCATCTGGTTCTGGGTCTGGTCCTGGCACCATGGAGGATAAGGGGACAGAGGAATTGGGGTGGAGGACTAGGACCATCAGACAGGGAGAGGTGTGCTGAGAAGAATCCTGAACCTGGTGTGGCCAAAGCAAGGGGAAGGGGAGGAGCAACAGGAACCCAGAAGACCAGAAGGAAAGGGGGGTGGCAGCGGGGGAGCCTGTGGGGGTCACCACCCAGACCACCCACCTGTGCCTTGTCTCCTGGGTGCCGCAGGCTCCTTTCGATTCTCCCCACTCTACACCTGTGAGCACCTGGCCCCTGAAGGAAAGGTCAGGTGGCCGGACTGTGAGCCATGACAGAGTAGGGGTGGTGGGGGGACTGGAGGGCCCATCTCTGCGTGTCCCTGGAGCTGGCTTCTCTTCCACTCTGGGGCAGAGGGTTGTAGAGGTGGCCAGACAGATCCAGGCTCCATGATTCAGTTTTTAAACAAACCCAAGGTGGCCCTGTCTTTTCCTCCAAGCTGTCACATAAATCTGTGCTTAGTGCCACCAGCCTGTTACCCAGGGAGCTGTCTGGCATGTTTTGAGGAGAACTGGAGGTCAAATGGTCGAGCTTTTGTGGTGACGGGGTTGACAGCGAGGCACGGGTGCCAGACTGGGGAGACAAAGGAGCCTCCAGGGGCTTCCTACAGGCCCTCAGCATGGCCACCCAGGGTCAGAACAGGCCTTGGTTGTGAAGAATGGGCTCTTGTGGTTTCACAGGGGCAGAAAAGGCTCCCTCCTTGCAGGTCCCTGAATATGCACGAGCAGCCATGGGAGGCACCGGCAAGTAAGGCAGTACCCTGGATTCAGGAATTTCCTCCTCACCAGATGTCTCACACATTCTCACCAGACACAGGGAACCAGACAGGGTAGGCACCAGCGTCCCCACCTGCACACGGAAGGCTCTCAGGGACCGGGGCTCCAACTTCATATCCCATATCTGTTGCATAAGCATCTTGGTCAGCACCAAGTCAGGATGAAAAGCCTCTCGTGTTTTTCTCTGGGACCACGAGCCGCCCCAGCATGGGGGGCCAAGCCCTTCACACAAGGCTGGGTAGAAGGGCAGGAGCCTGGCAGGGCTGGGGTTGGAGCTGCCCTCATTCTGGGTGGGTTTCATGCAGGGGAGGGAATGAGGAGGTTTTGTCCTTGAGGGAGGGGTGGAAGGGGTGCACTGGGACCCTCAAGGAGCTCCTGGCCTGAGTCCCTGCTTCGGTCAGTATTTACACGCTGCTTGCCCACCTGGTCTTCTTGAACCCCCAGGGCCACCTGAGGAGGAGAGGGCTGCCCCTTGTCGCCATGCTCAGACATGGGACACCCTTGGGTGGCTGGGATGCTGAAAAGACTATAACACTTGCCCCACACACATCCCAACAAGAGGCCACGGAAGGCCAGGGAGTGCCCAGCAGGCAGCCTTTGATGGAGGGCTGCAGCAGGAAGAAACAGGGAGACAGAGGAACTCGGGTGACAGGAAGACCTTTGCAGCTGGGAACAGAGAAGCATAATTCATCCTCCTCTCTCAAGCCCTTCTGAGAATGGATCAGCTGTGTCCGCTCTGCTCCACTCTGAGCGGGCTCAGTTAACCGACCCGGAATGAAGAAGCAGCGACTTTTCCTGTTGCCCGCAACCATGCATCCTGCACACGCCCTCAGTGACTCGGAAGCAACAGGGCAGGTCCCAGCCAGGCATAGCTCCTGCCTGGGGTGGACCCCGACTTCCCCAAGTGCCAGTAAAGAGCTGGCTGAGAAACCCTGATTTCTTATCTGCACACTTCTGAGAGCTATTGTGAAGACTGAATGGGAACATGCACAGTCCACAGATGCCACCCCCTGAGGGCTAAGCAAGGCTTCCTCTCGTGCAGGATGTATACTGGTCACTGGGCCAAGAGTCGAAGGATCAGCGTGGTCAGAACTTTCTTGAAGTTCAGTGAGGTAGACAGACATGAAAAAATCCTGCAGTTGTGTAAAAGCCATTCTGGGCATCAGATTAGGAAATGGTACATTCCCCGGTGAGATAGAGAACAAACCCTGTTACAGGCTACAGGGAGAGTATGGAGCATACATTGTGCGGCCCATGGCAAGGGAGGCAAGATGGGTAAGTGACTCAGAGATGGCCTTGCCAGCCCTGAAACTACCACAGTGTGGAGGTCAAGGCTAAATAAATGGGAAACATACAGACTTCAAGTCCTTACAGACAAGACAAGGCAGATCCCGCGCAAAGAGCATGAACACTGTGCTAAAGACAAATCACACACACAGACAGCAAGAGGAAACACACTAAGGAATTCCAAACAGAAAACAAAGTATATATAAAATATACAACTGATGCATAACTTCAAGAATTTGTTCTTTTATATAAGATATAAATCAATAACTAACATAAAACAGAAACCAATAGCTAACTCTTTTAATAAAGACAAAACCCAGATATGCAAAGCTGATAATAAAGGAGAGATCATAATCATAATAAAAATCATAAAAGAAAGGATAACAATGTGCTAACAGTTTTTAAATCTCTACGAAGTAGATGATTGTTAAGGGATGTAAAAGTTGGTTAATTGACTTAAACAATAAACATCTTAGCAAACTAAAAATGTTAAACACTGAAAACAGTGTGAGAGTATTACTTCTGAAATAAATATCAATAGATGGTGTTGGGGTGAGTAATTTTCAAACATTAATCATTCATAAAGTTCTCATATTTTACTTGATTTTCAAAATAGAAAAATGCTGAGCATTTGTCAATATGTTTTATGAGTGTATATAATTTTAATTCTCAAGATTGAAAAATGCATGAAAGAAGACTAAGTCGCCATGAAGGTAAGCCTAAGACTCCAAGATAAAATCCTGGCAAATCAAGCTGTTTGTGTCTTCGGGGACTCTAACGGCCTCACCGGAAAGCATCTCCTGCAGAAATGCAAGGGTAACTAGATATTAGACACCCCACTTAGTTGATTTAATTTAATAAATCAAAGAAGGAAAAAAAACACCAATAAGGTTCTTTCATACTGGGAAAAAGAAGCCAAGAATAACCATAATAAAAAATGCACGGGTGAAGCTCCTCAGTAGACCGCCTGGCCTAGCAGACACATGGGTCTGAGCTCCTCCCCAGCCCTTCAAAATAGAGGAACGAAGGAGAAATGTGTGCACCCTGTGAACAGAGCCGTCACTCTTGGTTGCAGATGGGAAGACACGTGAGCCGCTGCACAGGCTGGTCACGTCCCCATTTTAATAGAATGCCATGTTAAAATGCCAGTCTGTCTCCCAACCTAACCAGCAGGTTTCTTACTATTTGAACTGAGGTCCCAAAGGGTTTGGGGATAAGTCGAGATGGAGACATCTGATCACAACTCTGAAGTCCTAAGACTGTGGTTTAGTGATGGGTTCATTTCACACTGAGTCACGCGGGGGCTTGCTGAAGGCACCATAGAGATGAAAAAGTCCCACGGGACCAGAAGGCCCACGTGGCCAGGTGTGGGAGGCCGGCACTGGCCCACGAGGCTCTAGACAGTATATATAAAATATATAACTGATGCATAACTTCAAGAATTTGTTCTTTTATATAAGATATAAATCAATATCTGGGACTGGCTCGTGGTCCCACTTCCTCCCTTTGGGCTGGGCCCTTCTCCCTGGGTCCCTGGGTGTCTTTGTCCCCACTCAGCCCCTATAATTACCTGCTTCTGTCTTAATCCAAATGGCCATGAGGTGCTGAGAGGAGAGGGGCCTCGGCAGGGCAGGCTCAGTGACAGGGGCTGTGGCCATGCAGAGGGGAGAGTGCCCCTGAGCTGGGAGGCCAACATGATCAGGGCAGGGTTCCTGCAGGTGCGAGGGCACCAGGATGGGGCACGGTACCAGCCTCGGGCTGCCTGCAACTGAGTAGGGCTACTTCTGCCCGGTCTCAGAGCACCTCGCCTGTCCGCAGGGCTGAGGCCAGAGTCAAGGTCCCAGTCAGAGCTCTGGGAGGGGTTTAAGGTCCCCCTGGGTACCAACAGGATCACTTTGGATCTGTGGTTCTCAAACTGCTCTCTGAAAAAATTTAAAGAACCATCTGCATTCTTCATTCGCTTTAAATTTACTTGTATAAATCGTAAGCCTGTTAAAAAGTCGCAAAGTGTATAATTTCCAAGGTATAAATAACAGACTTGAAAGTACCTGTGGCCTCACTCTTTTAATGTAGCGTTCAAATGGAAACATTGTAACGAATGGGCCTGCCCCCCAGCTGGCTCTTTCACTGTCAGGAGGTTTGAGTCTCCTATTCCTTTTTTAAACTCCTGATCTCCTTCCATCTCCCTCAGAGATGTTTATCTTAATAGAGTATATTTTCAAGCTTGAAAATATCTTACGAATACCCTATTAGTCTTTGATTTCCTATGAGGTTCTTATAAATATTGGAATTTAAATTTGTTTTGTTATATGAAGATCTAAGAATTAAACTTCTTTCAGATTAAAAATAACACTGAGATTCCATCTTACCACACAAAGGCTGCGGTCATCAAGAAATCAAATCATGACAAATGCAGGAGAGGCTGCGGGGGAAAGGAATGGTTCTCCTTCTTAGCAGAATGTAAACTAGCACAACCACTATGGAGATTTCTCAAAACACTGAGTCTAGAAATCCTGTTTGACCCAAGTATTTCACTTCCGGTGCCTTCCCCAAAAGGTTAAAGACATCATGTTACCAGGATCCCTGCTCACCGCGTTTATAGCAGCACAACTCTTAAAGCCAAGTGTTGGAAGCTTTAGTCCATCAGCGTTGAATGGATACGGAGAACATGTTACTTACACACAACGGGGTGCTGCCCTGCTGCAGGAGGAGAAGCTCAGGCACGTGTGGGAAAACAGATGCACTCGAGACCATAATGTTAAGTGAAGTAAATTAGATGTGCAAGCTTAAATTCACCTGTTTCTCTTAGATGAGGAGCCCAAAATAGAATAAAGAGAAAAATAAAAGGTAGAGAGTAGGAAATAGGGAGACACAGCCTCCTCAGGGGAAGGGGACCAAGAGATGGCGGGAGAAGGGAGGGATGAGAAGAAATTTAGATGTGAGATGTGTGTGTCCCAGTCTCCAGGAGTAATATAATCACTGCATACTGCACACATATACTAGTAAAAAAACTAAAAAGCCATTGTAGTTAACATTAGTTACTAATGCTCAAAAGGAGGTTTCCTAAGTATCTATAACTATCAAACATGAGAAGAAATCTTTTTGTATGTTTCAAAATACTTTACTTTTGAGAAGAAATATTTGATTACCAATTGTCCTTGTGGTATTTCCATGCATTGAATGAGAAAATGAGGTGTGGCCCAAACTACCTGACAGCTGGAACGTTCCTTTAAGTTTTTCTAAGCAGCAGATGGAATTTTTTCACTATTTTCCAAAATAGTAAGATGAGGATTGATTGAAATGGGGAAAAGTAATCTTAATGATATGTTGTGAGAAACAGGTTTTAACTGCTTACTCAGAGAACAAACACTCAGAGAAAACACTCAGAGAAAAACAGTCATACACAGTGTTTACCTGTGGGTGCTGTCAATGTTGCCTTAGTCAATTTTGCTAGGTTACAGTGCCACGTAACAAATAGCCCCGGAGCCTCAGGGATCCTGGGCCGTCTGCCTCCCATCTCCAGCCAGCTGCAGCTCTTCCCTGTGGTTCCGGTTCTGGGACCAGGCTGCAGGAGGCCAGAGCAGGGAGCGCCCTCTGCCCCCGCAGTCAGGAGCCCCAGGGCCATGAGGGTGGACCAGGCTGTTGGGGTTGCACAAGTGGGGCCCCCAGGGGTCAAAGCAACAGCATCTGCCTCCAGGAAGCAGGGCCAGTGGGCAGACAGCAGTCCTCTCTATGGCAATGTATGGAGCAACTGGTCATCCTGGCAGAGGTGCTGTCCACACGCGTAGAACCACTCCACGCTGCTCAGAAACACCTTGCTTTCCACTCCTGGTGTCGCTGATTTCCTTCTGCTGCTGCTCAAGTACAGAATAAAAGAAGTACTTTTAGTATCCATATTCTTAAGTGGGGTGTCCCCTCACCCTGCCAGTTCTTTCCCCAGAGCCACAAGTTCTGCAGGATAAGCAGAGGGTTTCTCCACCTCTCCCCTCACAGTCCCTCTTCTGTGCCTTTCTGTCCCCTCCCTGCCCTTCACAGTTTCTTGTCTAGCTGGGGAGCACTGAGCACCGTGCTTCCTTGATGGATTATTGAAGCTGGCTTCTCTGGGGAGGGATTTTGGGCATTTCCTGGCCACAGATGGGTGAAACACAGAAATGCTTTTACTTGTAAAGTGAGGAGATGGTCACCTGGCTCAGGCAGGCTTCAGGCAAGTCCCTTTTGGTTCAGGCCCTGTGCTCTGAGTCATTGTGTTCTCATAGGGAAGCAAAGTCTCCATCCTGGCTGGGTTCAAGCCAGGCTCTAAAGAAAGGAGACCCCTGCCAGCCCATGACACTGCCTGCCCTCTCCCAGCCAGCCCCGGGGATGCTGCGGGACCTCCCTGTCCCTGCAAACTTGATGTGAGAGGTTTGCTTGCATCAGCCTCACAGGTGCACCCTGGCTGGTCCTGTCTCAGGCCGGGCAAGTCTTCCAGTCACGCAGACAGTGCCCCAGTCCTCAGGGGCAGAGGGGAGACAGCTCGGGTGGGGGCACCCAGGAGTCACGTCTCAGTGGTGCTGAGACAGCACCTGGCATGCGCGCTGTATGTAAGAGTTTAAAAAAGATTCCCAGAAAACTAGGAATAGCAGAGAACTTTTCAACTCAATAAATTACATCTACTAAAAATATAGGCTAACAGACTTTATGGAAAGAAAACAGAGAGTGTGCTCTTTATGATCAGGAGGGGGGCCAGGACGTCCGTCTAGCTGCTGCTTCCAATTAGCACTGTGGCCAGGACAGGCAGCAGGGACAGGCAACAGAGCCAGGGCGGATCGGAAGGGGAGAAATGCAAGTGTCTTAACCCACGGGAAGTGAGGTCATCTGTCGAGAAAATTCTAGAAGACGGATCAGAGCAGCCACAAGGGTTGATAAGAAAGTCAGCACGTGGAATGGCAAGTCTGCGTGCAAAGCCGATCAATCAATCACAGGGACTGCAAAGTCAGGACGACCGCAGCCCTGACTCAGGGAGGAGGTGCAGGGAAGGGTCCACCTGGCGGGGGTGCCAGAGAGCAGGGCAGGGCTGGGGACTCCTAGATCTGCTGGGAGGGATAAGCTTGGGGGTTCATGTCTCTGTTGCTCCCTGAGCAACCTTGGTGAAGCGTGCTTGTCCTGGGAATGTTCTGAGGCTGCCTCTTGGCAACTGTTGCCTTGGGAAATGGAGAGAGATGCACTCCGGTCAGCTGAAGCCTCTGCCAGTTTAGGGGACAAGGACGGAGGGGGCTTCAGTAAGAAAACAAGGTATCCAGGCCTGGGGACATTTGCAGCCAGGTTGATGCCGTCCCTGTGCTGCCTGGTCAGGACTGCCCTTGAGCTGCGGGGTCCCTGGCCTCCCAGAGGCCTGTGCGTGCATTCACAATAGTGGCAGACAAAAGATAGGGCTGTTGTGATGATCTGTGCATCTTGATAGAGAAACTGAGGCCAGGTTTGGCCCCGGGATAGCCCAGCCAGAAAGTGACAGAATCAGGCCTGAAAATCTGCCTGACACTGGGGATTGAACCTGGGCCTTCAACCTGA